TGTTATTTGTGTCTCTCCATTTTCAACATACTCTTTACAAACAGACGGAATCTCTTTCAACGTGTTGAGCTTTGGAAATATCCTTTTCATGAAGCCGATTCCACTTGAAAAGTTTTGTGGATTGATTCTTAACATATCAAATGATGTTCGAATATTTCGAGAGACTAAAAGCAGCTTTTGGAATGTGCTCATCCCACGTATGTACAAAAGAACGTTTGCAAAATAGAACGCCTCGAGTTGTACCATTTGATTTTTCTCAGTATATAATCGCCCAAATACTCCACACAATTGTTCATTTGTTATGCTTCAAACCAACTTTGAGTCTTAAACTTTTATTGTAATTATATTTATAAGAAATAATATCATTTCATTATTATAATTATATAATAATAATAGTAAAGTATTAACTTATTTACTAACAAAAAGAAGTAGATGTGTGGAAAATTTTCACACTTGGTTGGTTAAACGGCGGGAAGTATTCAGAGTAAAATAAGTAATCAACAATGCATTCTGATGAACAAGTGATCATTGCTGAATTTAAAACGATTATTTTGATATGAAAGGTAAAAATACCGTACACAAGTAACAATAAACGACAAGAATTTTGAGGTTTTCAAGTTGAAAAAGATCTGCAAAGTGACGTTGGCAGATTTAGAAAAAGTGACACTTTTGAAAAATGTTATTATGTTGTTTAAAAATAATAAGGAAAAGTCAGACTTCAATTTTGTTGACAAACAAAACAATTAAACATTTCCCATTGATAGTGTTAAATTTATGGTACCAAACAATTTAATATTGCTTAACGGTACACTTTTTCAAAGCATCTCTATTGTTTATATCATAATTCAAGAGAAAGTTGTTACAAATGGAAATAGCTGCTTTTTTGATTGGTAAGAACCAGAAAATTTCATTTTAGATAATAGTATTACAAGTGTTAGTCAACGATGTTATTATTGTAGAAATAAAAAAATAACCCAAAAACACGTGAAAACGATGTTTAAAGCGTATATATAATCTGATAAACTAGAAATGATTAAAATAATAAATAGAGAAAAAAATGTTTTAGTCTAAAACAATTATTATCTCACAAACATTTAACTCGCCGACGTACCTAATCCGCAACAAACCAATAGTGTTAAAAAGAGCAGTGTTTTTGTTTTTTTGAAAAAAAATATATTATACAGTGTAGTTCAATTATAATAAAATGAAAATGGAATAACGAGTTCAAATCATGAACTAAAAAACAAATAAATTGTGAAAAAATGAAAAAATAATAAAAATTTTATGACAAAAACGTAAAAAATGGCAAAATAAGAATACTGGTAAATGCAATAACATTTATTCCAAAACAAACAAATATGTTTTTTATACACTAAACAAAATAACAATTGGTTCTGAGTTGAAAATGAAATACAAATTGCAAAAGATACATGAACACGTCAATGATAATTAATGTAAACATATAAAATTTTTGTACATAATAGTCTTTATAAAAAATAGAAACTTTTCAAAGAACCTATTATATTCACTGTGTATTTTGGACAGTACGATGTAGCAAGATTTATTAACAATTTTTGTCTCTCTAAAAAATATTTTTATTATCTCTTGGTATTTACCATATTGTGACTAATCTTTTGAAGAGTTTTTATCAAAAGAATTTAAAATCGAACAAGCAATCATTAAAAACGGATTATAATGTCAAATCTATAATTAATTTTATAACAATTTCCCTCCACTACAAATAATCCACATACTTGTATATTGTTGTCTAACTTTTTGTCAAATATATGGACTGTTTAACCAATTGTTTGTTAATGACTTTTGACAGGTTGATGTATATAATAGCACATTTTTAATAATCTATTGAAAGGGGCGTTTAAAATGTATAAAATAAACCACAACTATATTTTTAATTTTTTCAAACAACAAAAAACCAAACTTCTTTGTTTATCAATGCTATTTTATTGATTTATTTGGTATATATTTTTAATTTTTGTTGTGTTTTACGTTATGCGTAATTTTGATTTTATTGTCAATAACAAGGTATACTTTATTATAATTATTCTTTATATTCGGGTTGCTTGATAATCAATTACAGATGCATCGTTGTCTGCAAAAGCGATGTATAATGGATTCGTTTTATTGTTATTATATTTTACAACTATTTCGACTCTATCATTTTCACTATGACACAGAAGCACGTTATTCAATGTAAATAACAACCACTGTTATCAATTTGCGTCATTCTCTGAACATAACCAATTATATTTTTTATTAAGACTATTATTATTTATTTGTTTTGTCAAACAAAAAATATCAATTTTCATGTTAGTTATGTGTGCTTTTATCATTTTTTTTAGATTTTATGAATACTTTTCTCAGAGTTAGCAGAAAATAGTCTGTCTCGATAAGATTAACTATATTTTATTATAAACAACAATTTTTATTAATTATTATTTGTATTTTTATTATTATTAAAAATTATAAAGCTTTCAAGCAGGACACAAATTTAATTTAGATATTAAGACACTTTTTGAAATTAAATACCGAAATTGTACATATTAAAACTATAGCTATTACCATAATCAATCTCAGTTGATTTTACACATTGACACTTTGGCATAGAAATTGATTAGTGGATTGAATGTGTGATTTTTTAAACATTCACTGTGTTTTGTGGGTTTCTTTAATATATTTAAAAGTCCAAATTTGTTGTTAGAAGTTAATTGTTTCTAAATGCTACATTTAAATTTTTTATTATTGAATTGTGTTGTATTTATTAAATAATAATAATTAATCAAATGATTAGTTTGATAACTATCATATTTGCTTTCTTTCATACTTACTAAATTATCATTTTCAATTTTAAAAACAAACATCAAGTAGTCGCATTTGACCGTTTATGTATCCGAATCATCAATTTTATTAACGGGAATATATAAAAATTTAACCATTGTATGGTTTTTCAAATATTTTCAATTATTTTTTTGTTTTTAATTAATGTTTTAGAAATGAAATAAAATGTTTTTTGAATTTATAACAATAAATATTATATTTTACTATAATTTGCTAAAGCCGACTTTTTCCACCAACTCTTTATTATTTTGGTTGTAATTTTTGTTATGTTTTGCTTTCAACTTTTAATTTAAAAAATAAATGCACAAAACGATTTTTTGGTATAAAAAATAAAAAATAATCCAATTATATATTTATATATTATGTGTTTCTATTTAATTTTTCGGGAAAATCACCTAATAATATTTCAAATTTATTTAAACAGTTTTGGAACAATTTTTTGAAAAACTGTTAAAAAGAGCAGTATTGGGTTGTTGGCGAGTTAACACATCAAAAATAAATATAATTATTAATTAATATAATTAATATTGAATTATTAAATATATACAATACTAAATCTATGTTTTGTTTTCTAAGGTCAATATTTGATGAGAGGGCTATTCGATATAAGGATTCATTCGATAAGAGACCAAAATATAAGAGGGAGGTCTCTTATCGAATATTGAAAAAAAATCAAAAAACAACAACTTCTTTTTTTGCTATTTTTAATGTTTTTTTTTGTTCAAAACCTTGAAATGGTAATTCATAAACCAAATTGTCATTAAGTTGAAAAAAAATAAAATAATTTTTAAAATTATTTTAAAAACAAATGAGTTTTTCATCTAAAACCGAAATAATGTTAATTAACGTGTCGTTGGAGCGTGTTAAATTATTACAAAACAACGCATGTTTATTTTGAAAACCAAGAGTTGTCGATATTGCTTTTCATATGTTCGTTTTAATGCTGTTTATGTTGTCTGTCAATATTTTGATTCTATAACGGACGTTTTGTGTTTTAATAAACACTAATAATATAAAGCATTTGTTTTTCATATTATAAATCACAAAAATTTTATAAAAAATGGCAAAAATATTTTTTGGGTGAAAATATAATTTGGAATTTTGTTGAGACAAAAAACAAAATGTGGTATTTTTTGTTAATTATTCAATTTTTTATTATTTGACCTTATATCGAATAAGACTGGAACGTAGACTGGACTATTATCGAATATATATATATGTAATATACTGTTATTAATTTAATGTAACATTATGTTAATACTTATCTAAAAATCAATTAAAAAATAAATATTATAATATTTATTATTATTTATTATTATTAATTGTAATATTACATATTATAAAGGTATTACAAAAATAAGATGTATTAAGATAATAATTATTATTGTAATAGTTTTTTTGTGAAACACATTTATAAATATATAAATCATGTGTAGTTTCTCATAAAAATTAGTTTTTAAAAACAAAAACATACAATTAATATTTTAAGTAAAAGTTCAATTATAAAAATTTAAAACATTAATTTGTTATTTTATCAATATATAATTATTTAATTTCAAATAACCGATTCATTGCCAAAACTCTAATTTGTGTTGATAACAGTGAAAGTTATATACTACACAAATTCGTAATAACTTAAAAATAAACTTTATTTTCTATGTTTAAAATATACATAAATAAACAAATACTTTATAAAAATTGTTTTATTAAAAATGAGTATTTTATAATTTAATCATAATCTTGATAATATTTATTTAATTAATTACTCATTATTTTTGAATTAAAATAATGGTGTTTAATCATCTTTTAATTATCAATGAAGATAATGGTAAAGTTGATATGGTAAAAAAAGATGGATTGATGTATCAAGATAGATATGGTGATGATGTTAAAATTAAGTCTTATCCTGAAAGTGGAGATGAATTTAAAGTTACTAAGGTTACAACATTACCAGATTATTACTATGTTGAACGTTTTTATGATAGATGGGATTGTAATTATATGAACAAATTAGATGAAAATAACCAAGAGAGGGTTTCTGCTTATTTTTACTAAACTAAGGTACCCACTTGCAATGTGAATAATACCTACAACTATACAATTACAAAAGATGCAATTACTTTTAATTATTATGACTCGAAGTGTGAAACACCAGACGCAACAACTCCAAAGTTGGAACAACAGTATGCTGTTTGTACTCAAAACAAACAAGGTCAATACACATTTTACTATTATGGGAAGGACTATGATCTCATTATACCCGTCACTCCAGATAATCCAAATGAGAATACCAGTTTTGGTGTGATTATTTCTATCGCTACGATAATCGTGATGGTACTCATTTGAAAGAAATAATTCAATTTGGAGTTTTAACTTTTTGTTTTAAACAATAAGAACATAATAGATTAATATTTTTCAATTGTTGTTTCTTTAAAACTACCTCAAACTTTATTATATTATTAAAAATGATGATTTTTTACAATAATATATAATATATTATTTACATTACATTTTACAATAGTTTCTTATTAAAATATAATACATTAAATACTATAATTATTAAAAATTTAATAAAATTAAGTTATTTTTTAAAAAAGATTAAGTTAAACAAAATTTGTTTTTGATTCAACTTAAATGCAATCTCAAATAAACATCAAAACAATGTGTTAAATTAAAACAAACTACAATTTTTACAACAAAAATATCATTAAAAATAATTTTATTTAAAAATTATAACTTCTGATTTATTTAAATATCTAAAGTTGTTATTACAACAACTCAAGTTGTTGAACCACAACTGAAATTTCACTGCGTTCTATAGGCTCTTGTTTCCATGCATTTTCAATGACTTCTTTGTACTTTTTATCTATTGAATCGGCTGCAATTGGTCTATTACCAGCTGATATTTCATCAGCAATAGACCAAGCAAATGGGTAGAGTGTTTTTGGGAAAGGATTATCCCAAGTGAAACACGTCAACATCGTCACAGCAAACGAATAGACATCGGATGGTTTTTTGTATTTTTTTCTTTCTAAAATTTCTGGCGCCATGTATTTAGGAGTTCCAATGCCCTTAGTGAAAGTCATGTTAGTCATCAGCATATTAACATTTCTTGCACTTCCAAAATCAGTCAATTTTGCATTAACTCGGTTGTTTATATCAAATGAAAACACAAGTAAATTGTCTGGTTTAATATCTCTATGTAAAATTCCATTTTCATGTAAATATAAAACACCCTTTGCTCCATCTTTCATAAATTTAACACGAAGTTTCATATCAATTTCATCCTTCTTTTTATTTTCAATCAAATCTTGTAAAGACCCAAATGGAGCAAATTCGGTGACCATACATATCTTCGAAATTATAAACACTGCGCCGTAAAAGTGGACGATATACTCACTTCTAAATTTGTTTAACATATCTACTTTATTCTCAAATTCGTTAATTTGGGAATTGTTTTCAGCAAATGTTTTCATCTTTTTGATGGCGACTGTATTTCCTCTCAAAGAGCCTTTATATACAACACCAAATGAGCCTTCGCCAAGTTTCTTTTCTTCTTTTAATTCGTCTGGATCTATACAAGTTGTTAGTTGAGATGTCAAACTAAATTTAATTTCCTTTAAAACTGCCTTTTCTTTGTCAAATGAATTTGCGACTAAATAAAAGAGCTTTGAATTTTTGAAGTGCAAATAATTTC